CGACAGATACGTCCTTCTTGCATCCTTCATTTATACAGTCATCCCTTAATATTCAGGGGAGCTGATTCCCAGGACCACTGCAGATACCAAAATCTGCAAATGCTTAAATCTCACATGGACTTAATGGCACAAGATTGATGTGTCGCCTACATACATCCACTGTTCACTTTAAATCATTCCCGAATAGAAATGTCACGTGACTGCTTACGCTGTTGAGGAAATCCTGACATGACCAGCCATCCCACCCTTGGGATGCTTTTTTTTTTTCTGTGGTTAGTTCAATCCAAGATTCTAACTTGTAAAAATGGAGGCCAAGCTGTGTTTGTAGGCCAGCTGGTTAATCTAGAAGCTGGTGTAGTCTAACAAATCACTCAGAGATGTTTACTGACAAGAAGAGCTCGGAATTAGAGCACTTGAGAGTCCGCAATGGTGAGAGAGAGAGAGAGAGAGAGAGAGAGAGAGAGAGAGAGAGAGAGAGAGAGAGAGAGAGAGAAACCCTGCCTCTGGTTGGCAGAGGACACATGATGCTGTGTTGGTCCTCAAGTCGCTCGTCAGCCACACATGCTCATGCCAGAGTTACCATCAGCACTGGGTCCTCTCTAAGCCCCTGGCCAAGGAAACAACTGTTTCTAAGCTAAAGACAGCAGATTTATGAACTATTTCATAAGCACTTCTAAACAGTGGCTCTAAACCGACCATAAAGAGCAACGATGGTGCTATATCTGTTCATTCACTCAATAATTTTTTTCTGGATACCTTCCGTGTGTCGGGGAATATGCTAGACATCACGGGTATACTAAAGATGAAGATATCCACACTTCCTTCCCCGTACAGCCCACCAGAGACTGGGAACCGAAGATGTGACCTAATGAGACAGGCGCGGGGAGGTCTGACATGGTTCTGCAGAACCCCAGGGAGCACTGAACCCCATGGGGAAGAGTAAGCTTTAAGGACTAGGAGTCAGATGAACGTGGGAGATTATTCCAGGGGGAGGGACCAGGGAGGTGACATCAAGGGGCAGGAGACGCCATGGCATATAGCTGGATGCCTACCATCTCAAGGCAGCTAGACTGGAGCTACAAGGGAAATGAGGCTGTAGAGGAGCCCCACTGTGCTGGCTGCACACTGCAAGGCCAGTTGCAGAAATCCAGGCTGTCATGGGAAAGATGTGCACAGATGCAGTACCTGGGGACAGGCTGGAAGGCAAAGGAGTTTGGCTGTGCAGAGGAGAGATGTTTCTCAGGATAATGGCACAGACCAAGGGGGTTTGCCTGTAACAAGTATTTAAGTTCCATTTAACAGAAAAGAAACCAAAGCCCAGAGGGAGGCGGAAGCTTGTCCAAGTCATGTGATACCTAATGCATGCATGTTTTCAATCTGGTGACTTTCTCTTATTTTTTTTGTAATTTATTTTTATTTTATATGCATTGGTATTTTGCTTGCATGTATGTCTGAGTGAAGATGTCAGGTCCCCTAGAACCGAAGTTAGAGATAGTTTTAGCTGCATGTGGGTTCTGGGAATTGAACCCAGGTCCTCTGGAATAGCAGTCAGTGCTCTTAACCACTGAGCCATCTCTCTAGCCCTTGATCTAATGACTTCCAACCCTAGTTTTTTTTAGGGGTTTGTTTTTGTTTGTTTTTTATTTTTCAAGACAGGGTTTCTCTATGTAGCTCTGGCTGTCCTGGAACTCACTTTGCAGACCAGGCTGACCTCAAACTCACAGAGATCCACCTACCTCTGCCTCCAGAGTGTACCACCACAACCTGGCTGTAACAACACATTCTTAAGCTGGTGACCTTGAACCCCCATGTTTCTGTCCTAAGAACTTCCTGCCGCCCCTCAGTCTTTTTCTCCCTTATGTTTTCGGCCCTCTCCTCCAAACTGGATCGTCTTTCAGACTACAAATAACTCAAGTTTCGATTTTAAAGAAATCTTCCTTTGACTGCCGCCGCTCCACTCCATTGCCACTCTTTCTTCTGTGTTCACGACCTTAATTTATCCACTACTTAGTGCGTCTTAAACTCACAGCTATGGCCACTCCGCTGAAAGCCCAGACAAATGCACTTTCAGCTGTGAGATCAGACACCATAGTTTTAGACCTTGTGCCCAGGCTTTTCTGGTATCTGATGTGACCCATTTCCCTCACCTTGAAAACCTATCCCCCCGTACTTCCATGGTACAGGGAAGCTCCAAGCTCTCTGCTTCTGCTGTCTGTATATTTGTAACATCCACCTTTTAGATCAGAGCATAACTCATTGTATAAAGTACGTTAATCAAGTGTATCGATCCGTGCGTCTACATCCCTGTTAGCCAAGTGAAGATACAAAACATTCCCAGAGCTGAGAATAAAGACATTCACCCACCACTGTGCCTGACCTAGCTGTGTTATCTTCTTGTTTTGAGATAGTATCTCTTGTAGCCCAGGCTGGTCTCTAATTTCCAATGTAGTTGAGGATGACCTTGAACTTTTTACCATGCCTGACATATGCACTACTGGGAACTGAACCCAGGTCCTTGTAAGTGCTAGGCTACAGTCTATCAAACAAGTTGCCTCCCCAGCCCTGTGGTTGTGTGTGTGTGTGTGTGTGTGTGTGTGTGTGTGTGTGTGGTGTATTTTTCCATCATAGGAGTGTATCCTCAGTAACCGCTCCTTTATCCTCTCCACAGGCATCTTCGCTGCTTGCTGGTTGGAACCACCATGACAAAAGCCACCATGAATGCGTTTGGGTGTGTGTTTGATGAACACACGCATTCATTTCTCCTGAATGTATACCTCAGTGTAACTGCCAGGTCACAGGGTTGGCGGCATATGCTTCCCTGTAGTAAATATTGTCAAACGGTTTTTCAAATTGGCTGTAACAACTTACTCTCTAGCAGCAGGAGATGAGGGTTTCAGTTGCTCCCCATCCTCCTACCACCTGGTGTTGTTTAAAAAGAAAAAGTCATTATGGTGGGTGAACAGTGGGTTCTTTTTTGGTGAGTCTTTTCAGGTGCTGTTGGCCATCTGAATGAACACCCGCCTGTTCCTGCCACCACAGGTTCTAGTAGTGATTCGTACTCTCTTTGCCGCTTGCATGCATATTTCACTAATTCCCCAAATGTCAATCATTTACTCTCATCCATTCATTCATCCGCTCGCCAGGTACTTATCTCTGCCTGGCACTGTGCTGGAGGTAAAGAATGAGGACAGGGGCTGGGTGGAGCAGGCTGCTTTTCTTTGGGCCACGAACCAGCTCCCAAATCATGACACCGAGACACTCTTACTAGTTATAAATATCCGGCCTTATCTTATGCTTGTCCCACCAGCTCTTAGAACTTATTGTAAGCTCTTCCTCTTCATCTCTGTTTGGCCTCAGGGCCTTTTACCTTTCTTTCTTTATGTCCTACTTTCTGCTTCCTCTCTTTCTCCCTCATTCTCCCTTCTCTCTCAAGCCTGGATTCCGCTTCCTACTTATTCTCTCTGCCTGCCAGCCCCACCCATCCCTCCACCGCCTCGCTATTGGCCATTCCACTTTTTGTTAGACCAATCAGGTGCCTTAGGCAGGCAAAGCAACGCATCTTTACATCCTTAAACAATGCAGCATAAACAAATGTAACACATCTTTACATAGTTAAAGTCATATTCCACAGCAGCTGGTGAAGATGTTCCATTCACTAAAGTGCTTGCTGTGTAAGGAAGAGGACTTGATCCTCAGCATCCACATAAAAGCTGGGCACAGTGGCACATGCCTGTGGAAGATACAGCAGGAGGATTCTAGCCATTCTAACTGCATGGGCAGACTTCAGATTCAGTAAGTAACCTTGTCTCAGAAAGTAAGGTGTGGCGTGAGGAAAATGCCTGACATCAACCTTTGGCTTATAACACACACACACAGTGAAGAAGCTGAGTGTGATGACACAAATCTATAATCCCAACACTTGGGAGACAAAAACAAGATCTTGAATTCAAGGCTTGACTTAGCATCACAACAACTGCTGTTTCAAATATAAAAATAAGACGTAAAAAAAAAAAAAAAGCCGGGCGATGGTGGCGCACGCCTTTAATCCCAGCACTTGGGAGGCAGAGGCAGGTGGATCTCTGTGAGTTCGAGACCAGCCTGGTCTACAAGAGCTAGTTCCAGGACAGGCTCCAAAACCACAGAGAAACCCTGTCTCGAAAAACCAAAAAAAAAAAAAAAAAAAAAAAAAAGACGTAAAGTCGGGCATGGTGGTTCATACCTTTAATCACAGCCCTTTGGAGGCAGAGGCTAGGGGATCTTTGTGAGTTCGAGGCCAGCCTGGTTTACACAGTAAGTTCCAGAACAGCTAGGGCGGTTACACAGAAAAACCCTGTCGATAGATAGATAGATAGATAGATAGATAGATAGATAGATAGATAGATAGCAAAAATGAGAGTAGTGGAGCATGCCAGCAAGATAGATGTGACCTCATCTCTCTTAAAATACGCAGTACATGTTTAGTGACAGTTCAGCAGATGATTGTTTTCGGGGGACTTTTTGACTCTGAGTGGAAGATGTTTTGTTTGGCTTGAACAGAAATGAGAAAGTAAGTAAAGTCTATATTACATGACATTTCAATTTATTTTGGTTTTATTTCTTGTTTTGGTTTTTCTGTTTTGTTTTTTGAGACAGGGTTTCTCTGTGTAACAGTCCTGGCTGTCCAGGAACTCGCTCTGTAGACCAGGTTGACCTCAAACTCACAGAGATCTATCTGCCTCTGTCCCCCAAGTGCTGGGGTTAAAGGTGTGCACCACCGCTGCCCAGCTGGTTTGGGTTTGTGAGGGGAGTGTTTCATTTTGCTTTGTTTTCGAGACAAGATCTTAATATAGAACACTAGCCAGCCTAGAACTTAGAATGTAGACCAGGCTGACCTTGAACTCACAAAAAGCCACGTGACCTGTGACTCCTGAGTGCTGGGATTAAAGTTCCTTCACTCTTCAGCTGATATTTCAAATAAACATTTAAAAGAAAAAAAATAAAATATATATATATGTGTATATATATATATAATTTATTTATCCCTAGGTGGGCACAGTGGCATATACCCATAGTCTTAACTACAGTGGAGATGGAACCCCGCTGATCACTTAAGACTGTGACACAAAGCAAACAAGACAGAACAGGAGAACTGGAGGTGTAGTTAGCTCAGCGGTGGAGGTATGCATAGCTTGTTTGAAGACCTGGGTTCAAGCCCCATCACTCCCTGGAGTTCTGTGTGCAGAGAAACTGAGTGAGGAGAAACAGGCAAGTGAAGGGCAAAGGGGATGGGTAACCTGAGGAACCACACCAACCCCTCCCAGAGGCTCGGCCATTACTGTCTCTCTGCCTCCTTTGGATGACTCTGGCTACAAAAACAAAGAAATGGGGGTGTGGGAAGAGTTCTTGCCATCACACACAGCAGTGTGTGGGGACTGAAATTCAAGAAATTTGCTCGTGGGGTGGCAAAGAAGAGAACGCTGAAGTGGCTTCTCCACTAGGCGAGCCTTTTCGCTGTGGACCGGCTCAAGAAAGATCGCTCCACCTCCCACGTCGCGGCAGCCTCCTCCATTACCCACGCTCAGGACAGCTGCTTCGGTGAGTCTCCGGTCGCCACAGGTGCCCCTTTGTTGAGAGAGCCTCGCTATACCTAGAGGAACAAAGCTCCCTGGGAAAGAAGGAACGGTGGAAATGCCTGAGAATTCTGGGTAATGCCCAGCACACACCCACTCCATGCCAGGTAGCTAGTTACAGGCAGGCACAACCTTTGAGGAAATGGACTGGACCCCTGTTTGTCGAAGCAACTCCAATCCGCGTTTTTCTTCGTGCATGTTAGGCAAGCACTCTTCCCCTGAGCTACAGCCCTGGCCCTTGGCCTGACCTGAAGTGACACAATGACAGAATGTCAGCCCAGGGCCTGGTAGAAAGCAGGCCTCTGCAATAAGCGTTCCTTCTCCTTGTCCCATTAGGAGGTGTTGGCCCTGCAGAGCCCTGTACAACACAGACAAGTAGGTTCTGTGAGCTACTGTAAGCTGTCAGATGGTGGTGGCCCACACCTTTACTCCCAGCAGAGGCAGGTGGAGAGGGGTTCAAGGCCAGCCTGGTCTACACAGCAAGATACACAGAGAAACCCTGTCTCAGACCTCCCTCCTCCAAAAAAAGAAAAAAAAAAGAAAAAGAAAAAAAGATACTGGAAACCTTTTTTCACTGTAAGACCCCTAGTCCAGCACTCTAGGGATTTCCCTCTTTGTATCCTGGGTTCCTCCCTCACAGGGTGAGGGTAATGGATTCCTTACAAATCTTTCCTAAGAGCACCAGAGGCACAGATGTCATTTGAACACAGAACGAGCACAAATCCTCAATCTGAACCTCCAAACTTTGCTTGTTTGGCTATTTTTACTTACATATTTTATTTTGTTTTTTATTTTTTAAGGGCCCAGGCTGGTCTTGAACTCTCCATAGCTAAAGATGACACTGAACGCTGGTCCTCTTTGCCTTCACATTCCAAGGGCTGGCAATCATTTTTAAATTTTAATTGACTGTTACATGTACTGGCGTTTTGTCTAGATGTAATTCTGTGCACCACATGTGCACCTGGTGTCTGAGGAGGCAGGAAAAGGCCTCGGATCCCTCCTGGGACTGGAGTTTACAGATGGCCATAAGCTGCCATGTGGGTGCTGGTAATTGAACCCAGGTCATCTAGAAGAGTACTCAGTGCTCTTAACCTCTGAGCCATCTCTCCAGCCCCCAGGTGCCAGGATTCCAGGCTTGCATCACCATGCCCGGTGAAGTTCAAAATGGAAACGCTCCCTGAATCCAAACTCTTAGAGCACCAGCACACAAGTGGAAAATTCCACACCGCCACTCGTGCGCTGCATTGCCACCAACATGCAGACATACTGAAAATATTGTGTAAAATACCATTAGGCCGTGTATTTGCAAATAAAATTAATTTTGTATTAAGACTTTCAACTCCATTCCTGAGAATACCACATTATGTGTATGCAAACATTCCCAAATCATGAGTGGGGACCCTGAAATCAGAAACACATCTAGTCCTAAATCCTTTGAATAAAGGATATTCTACTTTAAGCCCCAGGAAGCTATAAGATAGGAAAAACTCAATGCATGTCCTAGTTAGCCTCAGCTGTCAACTTGACACAACCCAGAGTTATCCGAAGAGTCTCAGTGTGGGGAGGACATCAATCAGGTGGTTTGTGACTATCTCTGTGGGGCATTTTCTTGATTGCTAATCGGTGTGTGAGGGTCCAGTCCTCTGTGGGGAGTATCATCCCTGGCCAGGGGGTGTGGGCTGTATAAAAAAGCTAGCTGAGGGGCTGGGGTGATGGCTCAGCAGCTAAGGGTGCTGGCTGCTCTTTCAGAGGACCCAGGTTCAACTCCCAGCACCCACATGGCGGCTTACAACTGTTTGTAACTCCAGTTCCAGGGGATCCAACACCCTCACACAACAATTACACAGTCACACAACAGTCAACACCAGAGCACATTAAACAAACAAACAAACAAAGCTTTTTTAAAATGAAGAAGGAAGAAAGAAAAAAGACAACTGAGCCAAGGCCAGGGAGAGCAAGCTCGCAAGCAATATTCTTCTGTGGTCTCTGCTTCAGTTCTGGCCTCCGGGTTCCTGCCCTGATTTCCTTTCTTGATAAACTGATACCTGGAGGTGTAAGATTAATTAAACCCTTCTGTCCCAAACCTGTTTTTTGATCCCGGTGCTTATCACAGCGAGTGAAAGCAAGTGACAACACTTTGGATTCTTGGGTTTCTGGGTCAGAAAGAAAGGCGGAAGCTAGCTTTGTCCTCAAACCCAAAATCAAACTCCTGATCTCTGAAACTCTCACAGCACAGCCCTTACAGCAGCCACATCTTTCTCTGCTTCATTTAAGCCCTTCTCCACGTTTTCCACCTCCTGTGTTCCTAGGAGGTATTTGCTGTAGGAAACGGGACTTTAGTAAAATTCCCTATCTCTGCCTCAGTTTCCCTATCAGACCTGAGACACGCCCTTAGAAGCCAGTCCTTAGTCGGTCCTTTGTCACGGTCAAGCAGTTTATAAGTCCTTGGGAAGGTGGTGCTGGAGACACTGAGTGGGTTGTGTCCCTTAAGTGCCCCAGACAACAGCTCTGAGCCCTCATCTCCTGCTTAATTGGGACCGTTTCCTGAGAGCCATTCCTCGCTCCCGCCGCAGACTGCAGAGTGTGGGGGACAGTGGGCACATTGCCCTTACAGGATCTCTAAAAAAAAAAAAAAAAAAAAAAAAGACTGGCCTAAGGCAGGCAAAAGAGTTTCTTTGCTTTTCACACTGCCCAGCTTCTTGATCCCCGGACTGAACAACCGACTTTCTGCTACCCTCTTTTCCTCAGTGAGCATGCTCCCGGCTCTCTCCCAACTTCCTGGGCTTAAAAGCTGGGAGGGCCCTTCAGTTATCTCGAGCTCCAGCACCTACTCTGAGGTCAGCTCTGAGAACAAAGATAGCCATGCTTAACAGCTGCCTTGCCTGGGCCTGCTAAGAAAAGCTGGGGAGACCTCCCAGATATCTCTAGGCTCCAGTTCCCAACAAATACCGACAGGCAAACTCCCAATGTACAGCTGGGAATTCCTGGTGAGTAACACCCCCATCCCCCAACCTGGGCGCTGGCAGGCAGATTCCTGAGGCTGGGGGAGGCAGAGGCAGGAGAGCTTGCTCTCAGCCCCAGAGGCAGACCAGGTCACTTCCGGGAGATGAGGCCATCGCTTGCCGGGAAGGGCCGGTTCTCCATAGGTGGAAGGCAGGATAAGGTCAGGAGTAGAGCCCTGGGATCCACTGAGTAAACCCAGGCTTAACTCAGGAGCAGCGTGAGAGGCTGGACTGGCCGGGAGATCTTTAGGCTTCTGACCCTTTTCTTGAAATCCTTAGACTCCTCCCTTGTGTGTCAAGGACAAGGGTTTGACTCTACAGGAAGTGTTTGGCCACCTTGAGTAGTAAGTAAGTTTCTTTATAAACGTTAACACTGTAACAGTCTTGCATAGGTCACCACTCTTTTTTGTTCTGTTTCTCACTCTCCCTCTTGCTGGTCCTCTTCTATTTTTTTTTCTTTTTCTTTTCCCTTTTCTTTCTCTCTCTCTTTTCTTTTCCCTTCCTCTCCCTTCTCTTTCCATTCTTCCCGTTTCCCTTTCCTCTCCTTTTTGTGAAACAAAGTCTCATTCAGTAGCCCAAGCCAGACTGTGGCAGTCTAGCCTCAAACTCGCAACAATCCTCCTGCTGGGATTATAAGCATGAGCTGCCATGCCCCATTTTTAAAATATGCACAAACAGAGCCGGTGATGGTGGCACACGCCTTTAATCCCAGCACTCGGGAGGCAGAGGCAGGCGGATCTCTGTGAGTTCGAGACCAGCCTGGTCTACAGAGCTAGTTCCAGGACAGGCTCCAAAACCACAGAGGAAAAAAAAAAAAAGCACAAACATAAAATGGGTACAACACTAAAAGGGTTTTCCCCTTTAGTGTTAACAATAAAATCGAAATAAATACTATTTAAAAGACATTATAAAGCCAGTATGACTTGAATGAGCCACATTCTAAATTGCTGTTCTCCATGTGATTTAAATCTGGCTGGCCTAGGGCAGGTGTATCCGTAGTGCCTAGGCTGTCTGTGTTACCAACAGCCAGCGGATGACTCAAGCCTCCTGCCACTTTCTCAGCTTAAATTGCTGCATAGGGTGTCTTCCAACCTTCTCTTGGTGGGAGCACACTATAATGTATGAAGTTCCCCTCTGCTGTTTCCCCATTAACACTCAGCAATTAGCATTTAAAATAACTTGAGGAGATCCTTAATTTTCAGGGCCCCATCTGCAACAGCAGGAGCCTGGCGTTCATCTCAGCTACCTCACAAATATAGTCGTGCGCACCCATCCGGGGATCCTCATTCAGCCATTGCTGAGAGTACCTACCAGGTGTTGGACGCTGTTCTGGGTTCTAGCAGGGAGCAGAATGGACGGGAGTTACTGTCCTGTGGAATTTGCATTTCAGTGAGAGAGGCTGATAAAATAACTAAGAACTTGTCTCAAGCAGGAGAGAAAAAGGCAGGAGGGAATCTAGAAAAAAGGAGGGGAGAGAAGGCACTTCTTTCTTAAAGGTGAGGTTCCAACCAGAGAGATGGCTCAGTGTTTAAGAGCACTTGCTGCACAGACCTGAGGGACTGAGTTCAAATCCCCAAGTAAAAAAAAAACCTGTGGCTCAGGGGCTGGAAAGATGGCTTCAGTGGTTAAGAGCACTGACTATGCTTCCAGAGGACCGGGCTTCAATCCCTAGCACCCATATGGCAGCTCACAACTGCCTATCACCCTAGGATCTAAGACTCTCACACAGACATACATACAGGCAAAACACCAATGCAAATAAAATTTAAAAAATAATTATTTAAAAAAACTCTTTAAAAAAAAAAGCCTGTGGTTCTGGTTAGCTTTAAACTCACAGCAATCCTCCTGCTTCAGTTTCCTCAGTGCCGGGATCACAAACGTGAGCTGCCATGTTCAGTTTTTCTTCTCACCCGCCCACACTGTGCCGTGTTCAATTTGTAAAATATCCTTTTGATATGCACAAATGTAAAACTAGGTACAAACTCTCTAGGTTTTGCCCTTTAGTACTCATGGCAGTGTATGTGCCTGGTGTGCCTGTGAGCCCAGCAATGAGGGGCTGAGAGGACAGGAGGATCATCGGGGCTTGCAATTTGCTAGTCCTAGTTCCAGGTTCAGGGAGAGACCCTGTCTCAAAGGATGAGGCAAGGATGATAGAGCAGGAAGTCAGCATCCTCCCGTGGCACTGGTGCACACTCATACTCTCTCTCTCTCTCTCTCTCTCTCTCTCTCTCACACACACACACACACACACACACACACAGCAAATTTAACAGAGCGTTGAAGGGAATTCTTGTTGAAGGGTGGCATCTAATTCCTAAATAAGAGGAAGAAACAAGAGCATTCTACAAGCAGCCAGGAAGCCAGATGACTTGAGGGAGAGCACTAAGACACACAGAAGCACACGGTTAAAATGCAGGGACAATAAGTGTTGGGGACTGCAGACCACCAGACCCTGAATTTCTTGTAAACACCTTGTTTACAAGCTGCTCTGAGCATGGGACCCTGATGGCAGGCTGGTGGGGCTACAGCTGAAAGATCCCGAGAGCTGGGACGTGGCCAGAGCCCTATATAAGCTGCCCCTGAGCACAATAAAGTGGACAGTCTTGGCTCTCTTGTTTCAGTGATGTCCCTGTGGCCCCATCTGTCTGTGTGTCTTTGTGCTTTCAGATTTTCAGCCTAGTTCCCATAGTGCGTAGTGAGTAGAGCACAGAATGGAACCGGTGTGGTTTTACAAGTGGAGGCCTTCAGCGAGATTGCCCTCAGGAATGGTGAGGGTGGATTAAAGATGGGTATGTGTGTTATGCGTGTTTGAGTAAATCTTTAAAGAGACAGAGTATAAACAGCCAGATTATAAGCCACAAAAGGATGGAATGTGCACAGAGAATTTGGATTATGTAAATTATTGTGTTGTCTTTTGGTTGGTTGACTGAAGACAGACGTTTGATTCTGGGAACTGCTAAGAAAGGTATCTTGACTTTAAAATATGGGTCTAAGGATATGTTGCTTTGGAAAAGAGGTTCTGTTTTTGTTTCCACAGATGAGAACCTGGGGGAGTCATTCCAGACTGGAACGGTTTGATGGACCAAGACCCCCTGAAATGTTGCTGTGAATACCCACAAAGATACGGCACCCCAAACAGCAGGAAGTAGTCTGGAGAGAGAGCTACGCCCAAATTCCCTAAATTATTGTTTAAGTAGGGCTTGGGAGCCTGTCTGCCATTGTGGGCGTGATGAGCAGCTTGCAGGCATGCAGGTGGAGAGCTTGGGTCCCTTCCACAATTCCCAAGCATGGGCCTGCTTCCTGGAGTCCTCAAGAGTGGAGAGGCGGTGGCTGGAGCAGAGCTTTGTGAGGGAAGCAGCCAACTGCTGTGAATGCGGCTGTGGTTCCTGGCTCTGCAAGCCCAGGAGTTTGTGGTTTGAATGGCAAGCATGCCTCCCAGCAGCAGTGGGAGGCAGGTCACTCCGGCCCAGTCGGTGCCTAGACTATATTGTAGCCGGCTCCAGCGTTTAATCATGAGCATGTTCACTAGGGCACTTTCCAACTTATTGCTATTACATTTGTGCCATGCCCATGCCAGGGCTAATTATATAGAAAGAGGGGATATGTTGGGGACTGCAGACCACCAGACCCCGAGTTTCTTGTAAACAACTTGTTTTCTTCTGCTCAGAGCAGAAGACCCTGATGGCAGGCTGGTGGAGCTGCAGCTGAAAGATCCCGAGAGCTGGGACGTGGCCAGAGCCCTATCTAAGCTGCGCCTCAGCACAATAAAGTGGGCTTTCTTGACATTCTTGTCTCAAGGATGGCCCCGTCTGTCTGTCTCTGTCTGTGTGTCTTTGTGTAGCGCGTAGTGAGTGGAGCACAGAACGGAACTGGTGTAGTTTTACGAATAAGTATCTGTTGTTTGGCTGCTTGGCAACCATTTCCTGCTCCCAGCAACTGTTCCTCTATATTCCTCTGGGAAAGCACCGCCCCTGTGCTTCAGATAGAGTTGACCCCACCCCTCACAGGCCTGGCCAATCAGGCATAATAATTTATTTAGAAATGATCATGACACCCAATCAGAATAAAGAACAAATGGGAAGCTACCGCCCCCTGAGATCCCCTGCAGTAAGGATTGGCCTGGAGCAGTCAGGTGTCTCATGTGAACTGAGGGGAAGGGTAAGACCTAAGAAAAGAAAAATAAAGTTCTGGGCATCAGAATCCCTGGAACTGGAGTTAAGTACGGTTGAGAGCCACCATGTGGGTGCTGAGAACTGAACCAGAGTCCTAGCGACAAGTGCTCTAAGCCTTAGCCATCTCTCCAGCCCACCATCTCTCTCTTTTTTTTTTTTTTTTGAGACACGATGTCATACAACCCAGGTTGGCCTCCAGCTCTATGTGTATCTGAGCATCATCTTGATTCTCGAATCCTCCAGTCTCCACCTCCAAGATTCCAGATGTGTGCCATCACTCTTGGTTTATCTTGAGTCCTTGCATTCAAGTTTTACCTACCTGACGGTGTCTCACTTGCCTGCGGCAAAGCAGCTGCTCCCTGTGTAAGCCCATAGCTCATGCCCATCACTACATGAGAAAGTACTGCGAAGCTGGCAGCCTCAAAGGAAAACCAGGGCACTGCTGCTGAGGAGACCTAAGAGCCGGGGAGCCCAAAGCCGTGGCTCAGGGTCTCTTTGGTGACTTCAGACTGAAGCCTGAAGGGTGTGCTGTCCCAAAGGTCCCCTGAAATGGCTTGTTCCTTGCTACCCAGGCTGTCTGTAAGTGAAGTGATTGTCCTTGAGATTTGGTGCTGAGGGACCCAAGAGAGAGCAAGTGAAGACCTCATCTCTGAAGTGACACATGGTCGCCTCCACTTGTTTCTGCTCACCTCCAGTCAGGAATCCCGTGCTCCCCACATTGTCCTATTTTGACAAAGGGGAAAGGCCCAGCTTCTCTGGAGAAGGCAGGGTTGCCTGTGGGCACGCAGATGCGGAGGTGTAGACTGTTACCTCTTCTTTCCTCTGCTCCTGAGCCTTTGTTCAGTGCTGTGTGTTCAGAGAGGCTGTGTCCTGCTTGAGAGCCTGGCTCCTTTCTTGGATGACCAAACACAATGATTAAAGTCCATTTTTCTGAAAGAAGCAAGACCACAGAGAGAGGTGACCAAAGTCTAACTCCAAACTGTACATCCTAGTCCCATGTCTGACAGGACGTGAAAACGGAGCAAGCATTCTGGAAGCACATGCAAGAATTCATGACTGGTGGGAGCTGGAGAGATGGCTCAGAGGTTAAGAGCATTGCCTGCTCTTCCAAAGGTCTTGAGTTCAATTCCCAGCAACCACATGGTGGCTCACAACCATCTGTAATGGGATCTGGTGCCCTCTTCTGGCCTGCAGGCATACAACAGACAGAATATTGTATCCATAATAAATAAATAATAAATAAGTAAGTAAATAAATAAATAAAGTTCAGACGAGAACTGAACGCCACCAGCCAGGCTCTCTGTCCCTCACAGAAGAGGGAGGCTTCTAACAACTTCTCAATGGGTCGTAAACAAGACAGAGGACATGTCCCAAATGGAAGCCCCAGCTTCTGGGTAAACTCAAGCTTCCTACATCTAAGGCCAAGCAGTGCTAGGTGGGAATCGAGATGACTCCAGATGGAGAAGGGTAGCCCTGGCTTGCGTGGCCCAGCCACACGGGAGTCAGCACCCTGCCCTTCTGCTTGCCATGAGGACCTCTGCCTAGCACTACGAGCCACTTCCTGTGACTGGTCCTCATATATCGATTGGGGTATCACCCTGAGCCCGGCATCACTTAAAAGGATGTTAAAATGAGGTAGGGGGACATGCTTTATAATCCCAGCATTTAAGAGTCTGAGGCAGAAGGACTGCAAGTTGAAGGCCAGCCTGGTCTACTTATGAGTTGCAGGACTGAATGGGCAACATAGAGAGGCCCTGTCAGGAAGGGAGGGAGGGAGGGAAAGGAGGAGGAAGAGAGGGGGGAGAAGGAATGAAGATGATGAGCACCTGAAGCCTTTCCTTGTATGTACTCAAGCTAAGCTTGAGGTGCCGCCCTTGCTGGGGCCCAGAAGACATTAACTCTGCCTTAGCCCATCTGGGCTTTCTTGCAGACCTCAGCCAGCTGAAACATGTTTGGATCAAAGATAAACCTCATCAACTCACGTCCGCCTCCAGCCCTCACTATGTACATTAGGCAACAGCAGTCACAGGTCAGCCTTTGTGGCTGCCATTGTCACAGCTGTTGGCGCAGACACCAATACTAGGTGAGCTAATAACTCGGGGATAAATGGCCCTTTCACCAGAAGCCCCGAGTACTCCGGGAACATTACATCATGCCCACCTGACACACTCCCACATACTGTCTTCCCCAAGTCCCTCTGTGTTGGGAAGACTTCCACAATCCCAGCAGCTCCGTCTGGGCACAGCTTCAGACCTGTTATGGTCTTTTGGAGGGCTGCCTTAGGGGAGACCTTGAGGAGGTTGTCCAGGTCTCTGAGGCCCTCCCAGCCCCATCATGCCTGCCCTCCTGAGCTGTCCTTCCTCTGCCCTAGGTCTTCTATGCTTGAAATGAGAAAGAGCATTGCTGACAGTGTGTGCCGAAGTGTTTTCAAATGCCAGGAATGGAAATCAGTGGATACGTATAATTTTGTAACCGGCATTGTGGTATGCCAAAATTGTTGGGACCCTCATAGTCAAGGTGCCAGATTTACAGGTTACCTCTAAATACAAGCTGTGCGTACATTATGATATCTAGACTTGGTTGCTGAATATTCCTGACGGTTTCTTTCAGGCTTTCTTTCCACCGTGTAAAAATCCAGACACTGACCCAGCAGAACCCAGTTCCTGTTGAGACACAGATAACTCTGTTCCTCCTCCAAAGAGTTTCTGGGAGCCACAGCAGATCAAAAGCGCAGGCCCTGGGAGCACTGATCCCTCCCTTGTTTTGGAAACAAACCTCAGGGCAGGTGCGCATGCAAACTGGAGCACCAAGAGAGGCGCTGACAGAGCAGAGCCTTCTGTCCAAAGGGACTGACCACAAAATGGAAGAAAGTGGGTTCTGAGATGCTTCCAATTGCTTTCAGCTGTGCAAGGGAGCAGTGACAGCAGGACCAGTCTGTTCCAGTCACCTGTGAACATCTGTTGGCCCAGTTCCCTGGGAAAAGCGGCGTCATAGACGGGGTTGTCAGAGGAGGAAAGCTGACAAGGGAGCATCGGCCTGCCCAGGTGAGCTGAGCAGACTCAGACATGGGGAGGAAGGAGAGGAAGGATGGGAGATCCCAGGCCGTGCTGTAGGAGGGCAGGATAAGGGACCCCCCGATCCACGTCAGTAAAGCAAGTTTGATCCAGATCCCGGGGAAGCTCTTGAACCCAGAGGGGGAAAAAAAATCCAGTCTTCTCTGGCTCCTCTGGAACAGGGGCTGACCCTAAGTCTAGGAGTAGCCCCCCCATTCAGGCTGAGGTTCTCTAGGAAGAGCCTGTGGTTGGGGAAGGAGTATAGTGGGGGGCCCAGTGTGAAACTGCATAACTAGGCTTGCTTGAGTCCTTGCTCCACCACCAACTCTGACCATGACACATGATAGAACATCTTCCATAGCAGCTCCATGGGAGAGTCACTGGGCAACATATTTTCATCTGTAAATAGGGAATGCTGCAAGAGGTGAGTGTGTGAGTGTGTGTGTGTGTGTGTGTGTGTGTGTGTGTGTGTGTGTGTGTGTGTGTGCTCCTAAAAGGAACATGTAGTTATAAAGCTGGCAAATCCCCAGGTCAGCTGGAGAAGTCAAGCAGGTGCTGGGATTAAAGGTGTGTGCCACTACCCACCAGCTTTTCCTCTCTAATTTTAGAGTAAATTAGATGAGGATTCAGAATCGTATCTGTGTCTTTCCTAACTAGCTGCTTCTAGTCTGCCTGGGTCGGCCAGCAGACACCAAGGCTTGCCAGGAGAGAACGGGCTGGTGGAGGGTGTTTTTCCATTGGGTTTAACTTGGAGCCATAGGAACCAGTGACAAGCAGGGGGTAGATCGAGGTTCAGGCTGGGAAGAAATTCCTTACCACCCCAGAAAAGCTTTCCAACAACTGCCTTCATGGCCAGCTAAGAGCCACTCAAGATGTCCAAACTTGTGCAAGTTTATAGAGAGTGTGCCTCATTGTGCCAAGATGGGTGACTTACTCAGCTTGCCAAATGTCCTCCAGCAAGTCCGTGGCCTCCCTGAACACGACACCTCACTGTGGTGACACCACGAAAGACTGTACATGCCCTATATGTCCTGCTTGTCCCTGATGGCAGACAGACCCTCACATCTGCAGCGAGTGTCTGAAAGACTGTATTCATCATTCATCCGCAGCTCTGAGAGTCGGTCTATGCGCACGGAGGGATGAGGTCAGACAGCCTGGGTCCCACTCCTGGCTTCCTCATTCCACAGGGATGTGATTCACTAGACCTCGGTTTCCTCAGTTGTCACATCAGAGTTTTGTGGGCTTATGTCCTTAAAGCTCTGAGCACAGACCCTCATCTCTGACACTTACACTGTTAATGTTGATGTCCTGTTGCCGCCACTGTCCTCCTTGAAGTCAGCCCAGTGGCTGCCTTGGAACAATACTGAAGTGCTCTTTTGGATATTCAGATGTCATTATGAAAGCAGCCCCCAAGCCTGTGGCTACAGCTGGCCCAGAGGCTTGATGACGTTCCCATCCAGGTCCTTGGTTCTAGCATCCCCCTCCCCGCACCCTCCCACCTCAGCTGGGCATGAAAGCAGAAGCCCAGGAAGTGCTTGCTTTGGAGCAAAGGAGGGACAGCCATGGGGGTCTGGGGGTGTTTACCATCTCCAAGCAAGGAGTCATCGGTTTCTCATAACCAGTGTGGAGTAGAACTCACTTTCTGGAACTGTCGGGTTAGCTCATTGACTGTCGAGTTAAAGCTCTCATGGGTCAGGACCAAGCCCCAGCATAGCCACGCTACTCTTTGAGTATGAACTTGAAAGAGCTGGAGTTTCAAGGATAAGACCTTTGACCTTTGCAGGTGCTGCCCTCTCCTTCACAGTTGGTGGGGCAGGTGTTCAGGTGCCCAGCTCTTCGGATTGGCTCTGGAAAAGAGCACACGTGAAAGCACCGGTAGCTCCCTAAAGGTTATTCTGTGTGCTTTGTCTCACATTGTACCCGGTCTTGAAATGTTGCCCCCCCCCCGCACCCCCTGCCCCCGGTCTCAAACTCCTAGACTCTACTTGCCATCCTTACGTACCAGCTAGAGAGCCTTCACCACTCACTTCCTGTCTGAGTTCTAAGAAGTTGTTCTTCTCAGTAGGCTACCAGGACCAGCAGTAGAAGAAAATCCCAACTAGAGTTCATGTCAGACAAACTCAGGCCAGTAGGAATCAGGAAAGGTGTTCTTCTGTAGACTGTCTCTCTCTCTCTGTCTCTCTCTCTCTGTCTCTCTCTCTGTCTCTCTCTCTCTGTCTCTCTCTCTCTACCTCTCCACTCCCCCAGTTTCCCCTCCACCATTCTTTTTCTAACCCCCCTCTTCCAGTTTCTCTTTCCCTGTTGAAGATTCAGTCATGATTTTCTGCTAGCCTTGCCATCTTTACCTACAAAACACAGACAAAGACCCTCACAGGTCAGTTTTATTTTTATTGCTACCCAGGCAAGGGCTAGGTGAGATGCCAGAGCTCTGAATGCTGACTTTCCTAAATGTTTCTTCTGCACTCTCGGCACTAAGGGGCCAGATCACGATGGGGTAAGAAGTCACCCTCTAGTGCCCAGCAGTCCAGTTGATGGGGGCCCGGGAGTGGGTGGGGAAGGTGATGTTGTCGCATCTTGTTACAAATAGAAACTGGACGTCAGTGGCTGTCAGGAGAGCATCTTTCAACAGCCGCAAATTACTGCCTCAGGGTTTACACGAAACAAAATGATGAGTGTGGAAAGACAGAGCTTTAATCCCTGCCCTGCGCATAATAGGGATTGTGTGTCTGCTCCGGTGAGGAACTATTGACCTCCAGCTGTAGTTGTTGTTCGTTGCTCTTTGCTCTTTGGGGCCCCGCCACCCAACTCCCAAATAAATATACTCATGGAGACTTAATCTTACTTTTCTTTATGGATGCCTGGCCTTTGCTTGGCTTATTTCTAGTCAGCTTTGCTTTTTCTCTCTTCTTTCTTTTGTTCGTTTGTTTTTTGTTGTTTTGAAACAGGCTTTCTCTGTGTAGCCCTGGCTGTCCTGGAACTCCCTCTGTAGATCAGGCTGGTCTCAAACTCAGAGATCTGCCTGCCTCTGCCTCCCGAGTGCTGGGATTAAAGGTGTGTGCCACCATTGCCCAGCTAGCCAGCTTTTCTTTACATAATTTATCCCATCTATCCTTTCCCCCTTTTATCTTTCTCTAGTCTATATACTTTCTATATTTCTTTCTTACTCTATTGCTGGTTGTGTAGCTGGATGGCTGGCCCCTCGTGTCTTTCTCTCCTTTTCTTGCTCCTTGATCTTTTCTCTCTCTTTTTTCTTCTTCTATTTATTCTCTCTACCTGCCAGCCGACCCATCCTTTCTCCTGCCTTTCTATAGGCTGTTCAGCTATTTATCAGACCAATTGCGTGTTTTAGACAGGCATAGTAACACAGCTTCACAGCGTTAAACAATGCAACATAAAAGAATGCAACACACCTTTGCATCGTTAAATAAATGTTCCACAGCATAAACAAGTGTAACACATCTTAAAATAATATTCTACAAGATCCAGCTGTGTCCCGGAGGCCCATGGGAAGGTCTGATCAGGTGGGCTTCCTTTTACCCTTTGCCATGGAAGAGAAGAATAAGATTCTCCATTGAGCTCAGAGCATGGCATTATACCCTAATATTAAACTTTCACCACAAACTACGTAAAATGATATTATTCTTTGAAAGAGAACTATGAAACCAGGAGGATGACAAGGCCTGGCATCCTGGAGCTGGTAGCTGAGCTTCCCCAGCCTAGGCCCGGTTCTTTAAAAGACTCATTTGAGGGGGCTGGAGAGATGGCTCAGTGGTTAAGAGCATTGCCTGCTCTTCCAAAGGTCTTGAGTTCAATTCCCAGCAACCAACATGGTGGCTCACAACCATCTGTAATGAGATCTGGTGCCCTCTTCTGGCCTGTAGGCATACAGACAGAACATGATAAGTAAATAAATATTTTAAAAAAATTTAAAAAAAAACCCAAAAGACTCATTTGAGACTCTTCCCAACACACCCAACTCCCTGCCACTTTGAAATCTGAAGCGATCACAGTTCCCTCAACGGTCTCCTTAACTTGCTCACTAATGCCTGAAATCCAACCACCAAGGCTCCATGCCCTCCTCTGGAGGAAGCAGAGTGAAGTTACCATTAATGCACATCACACAATGAAGTGCTACGTCATGCAGCCTCAGCACCAGGAGGTTTGAAGTGAAACTTGGAGAACAGAGAGCAATGAGTTAGGAAGGCAGGAGGCTTCAGGTGTGAACATTCTAGATGAACACTCCTCTCCAGTTCTCCTATCTATTCTCCTGCTCACATACATGTGCAATCTGCTTCTCATTCACTATTCTAAGGCCTGTCTTAGTTAGGGTTTCTATTGCTGTGAAGAGACATCATGACCATGGCAATTCTAATAAAGGAAAACATTTCATTGGGGTGGCTTACATTTGAGAGGTTTAGTCCATTATCATCATGGTGGGACGAGGTGGGAGGCAGACATGATGCTGGAGAAGAAGCTGAGGGTGGAGAAGGAGTTACATCTTGATCCAGCAGGCATCAGGAAGTGGTCTAGACACTGGGAGTATCTTGAACTGAGGAGACCTCAAAACCCACCCCCACAGTGACGCACTTCCTCCAGCAAGGCCACACCTACTTCAACAAACCCACACCTCCTAATAGTGCCACTCACTGAGTTTGTGAGGGCAGTTACATTCAGTCTACCACAAGGCCTGAGTACTTCTGTTGGAGGACAGGAGAAGATGGATAGCTCTTACTGTTTGACAAAATGACTGAAACCAACATGGTTGACCTGAAGAAGCAAAAAGGCTGCAGGAAACTGTGAGGTGGTGGCTACTTCTTTCAAGACAGAGTTTCTCTGTGTAGCTTTGGAGTCTGTTCTGGAACTTGCTCTGTAGACCAGGATGGCCTCAAACTCATAGAGATCCACCTGCCTCTTACTCCCTGAGTGTTGGGATTAAAGGTGTGTGGCACCACCACCCGATGCTTTTTAAGGCTATTTTGTTTTTGTTTTTTATTTGTGGTGGTGCACACTTCTAATTTCAGCATTTGAGAGTTAGAGACAGAAGAATCAAGAGTTCAAAGACATCCTCAGCTACGTAATAAGCTTGAGACCAGCCTGGGCTATGTGAGACCCCATCTCAAAAAAAAAAAGAAAAAAAAAAAAAAAAAAAAAAGGAAAAGAAAAAAGAAAGCTAATGAGAACACGTGGCAAAGCCCCCATATTTGTTGCTCCTTGTGTATGTCAATTCATATATTTTATAATAAGTAGACACATATCCCAGTGCCAGGCCCTCATCTTAACCTTCATGGTTTCCCATATGTCCTTGAAAGCTGATCAAGTAGTGAGAGCAAAGATAAGGGGGCCTCTAGCCTATGACCCGTGTCTGTTCATTTCAGAATAAACTTGGGTATATCACACCATAGGAACTTGTTCCTGGGCCCTGGTAATGGACCAGTCCTATAACTTGTGGCAAGGCACAGATTTCCCTGATGCCAATTGTATCTGTCACTAAGACATGAAACCAGAGAATATTCTGGTGACAGATGGTGAGACAGACAGGCTGGCATTGGCCTTTCCAGAATCCACAGCTATTTGATGGTCTATACCTGTGACTGTTATACTCTGGTCCACACTCAGAAGGCCTTCTACAGGCTGCATACCTGTGGCTGTATCTTTGTGATAACGTTCTGCCAAAAGCCTCTCTAAAGGCTCTGACCAGTGGAGTAAAGTCATGGATCTGATCACACTTCCCTTGACCTCTGCTTTCCCCCTGGTGCAGAGGTTCTGACACCTTTGGCAAACCTCTACTCTAAAAATATATCCATAATAGTAGCAAAATTACAGTTATGAAGTAGCAACGAAAATGATTTTATGGTTGGGGTCATCACAACATGAGGGCCACAACATTAGGAAGGTTCTTGTCTGTGTTAGCCCTGTGGCTTGGTACCTTTTATCAGTAAGATGTTCTCATCTTGCTTCCTTTGTGTCTGGCTTCCTCTGTGTCAACTGCAGACTGACTCCTTTCCTCTTTCCAGAATTCTCCTGTTCTTGTTGCCCTGCCTCTACTTCCTGCCTAGTCACCCTGCCTATATTTCCTGCCTGGCTACTGGCCAATCAGCATTTTATTAAACCAATACAACAGACAAATTTTTACAGGGTACAAGATCATTGTCCCACAGCACTTACCAGCTGAGCAGTCTTCCCAGTGTCTCCCCCTCCCCACTTTTTTTTTGTTTGTTTTTGTTTTTGTTTTTGTTTTCAAGACAAGGTTTCTCTGGTAGCTCTGGCTGCCCTGGAACTCACTCTGAAGACCAGGCTGGCTTCAAACTCAAAGATCTGTGTGCCTTTACCTCCCAAGTTCTTGGATTAAAGTCCTGTGTCACCACTGCCTGGACCGTCCCCTTTTTTATATAGTGCTGAGAATTGAACCTAGGACCTCATCTTTATATATAATAATTTTATTTCACTCTAAGAATTTTATGCTTTTTAAAAATTTGAAACAGTTCTATTCTGTAGCCCAGGCTATCCTGGAACTCACTATGTGGTCCAGGGTGGCCTTGAACCCATGATGATCCTCTTGCCTCAGCTTTCTGAAATTTGAGCCTTCCAGTCTTTCTGTTTTACTAAAAATGGCAAATTCATCCCCATACAAGTCTTCCTGCGGCTGTTTCCGATCTGGAACTGTATTACCCTAGATGGTCATGATAGGATAGTATGTTAGTTTCCTGTTGCTATAATGAAGTGCCTGAGGCAGGTGACTTGTGTAGAAAAGAGGTTTACTTATCTCAGCATCTGGAGGTCAGCCTGTGACATACCCTCAAGACAGAGCACACTATGAGCAAGTGGTCACATCTGGAACCATGACACACAGAGGGTAGGAGGGGCCAGGTTTATTCCTTTTATAGCCATCTTCTCCACAGAACTACACTGAAGGGCTTTAGGAAAATGACCCAGGGGCCTCCCACAAGGCCCCACCTCCCAGAGAATCCACTACCCCACAATCCTGCCACTCTGGGGACTAAGCCACCTGGGAGCCTTGGGGATACTCAAGACGCACGTTAGCCTCAGGAGATGTTTAGGCAGGTCTTGGTTTCACTATCATGGCCTCTAAGTGCCCACCCCCAGATCCAGGTCTACACTTGGGCCCTCAAGTGCCCACCCCCAGATCCAGGTCTACACTTGGACCCTCAAGTGCCCACCCCCAGATCCAGGTCTACACATGGGTCCTCAAGTGTCCACCCCTAGATCCCTGTCTACACTTGGGTCCTCAAGTGTCCACCCCCAGATCCAGGTCTACACTCGGGCCCTCAAGTGTCCACCCCTAGATCCCTGTCTACACTCGGGTCCTCAAGTGTCCACCCCCAGATCCAGGTCTACACTCGGGCCCTCTCACACCACCTCATCTTACCCAGCACTACTTTCCCTCATACCTGTCACTTCTGGAGCTGCTTTGTCCAGCTGCTGGTTCCTTTGGTTGTCTGTCCCCTTCGGCACCCCAACTTAAGTCCCTGCAAAGAGAGCCTTTCTACCAGGTGGTGTTGGGGCATGTCTTTAGTCCAACACTCGGGAGATAGAGGCAGGCAGATCTCTGAGTTCAAGGCCAGCCTGGTCTACAAAGTGAGTTCCAGGATGGCCAGGGCTACACAGAGAAACCATGTGTCGGAAAACAAAACTAAACAAAAACAGGGGTGGGGAGATGCTTCCAGCTTTGCTCAGCTCCTGGTACAGAAAGAACCACACTGCCTGTCAATCCAGTGTGGCAGCACATGCCTGTAATCCTAGCTCTCAGGAGCCCGAGAGAGGAGGGCCATGAGTTCCAAGCCTGTCTGAGCTACAAACTGAGACTTGTCTAACACTAAAAAGCATTCATCATAGTTGGGAGGAATAACCTGTGCTCGTGGGAGCGACGCTCAGCACTGGGGTACAGGCTGTTATTGGCCTCATTTCGGATCCCACACAGCTGTGGCAACAAGCAATATTTCTCACTGATTGGTCTCATGGCCGGCCAGAGCCTGACCTTTTTTCTAGCAGAATGGCTGCCGTTCGGAGGTGGACTTCAGAACCCACCTTCTGCCCTTCCTCTAAACCTTTCTGTCTTGGCTTCTAGCACAAAGCAAAGGTGAAGAAAACCCGGCCAGGCCAGAGGCTCCGTCCAAATTACACTCAAGCCACACGCAATTAAGTGCAGTTATTAGAAGACTCTCAAGTCAGACAATGGAAACAGTAAGAGTTTCCACTGAAACATGAACTTGGCAGAGCAGGCTGGGTCCCAGAAGCCTCTGTGCACACCCAGAGATGAGAAAGCCTTCCTGTGTGGCCTGGGGTCGGGTGTGGAAGTGGATGAGGAGCAGGTGGGAGAAGGGGAACTGGGTCCTCCTCCAATGACTGTCCCTTTTCTCCCTGAGTCAATCAAGCGTATTGCCATAGGGAAAACTCTTAGGTGTAAAGCTAGCCGGCTTGGTGCTCTACCCCCATCTCATTCTAGTCTCTCTGTTTGGGTTTAGTTTTTGGCGTAAATGTGCTTTCAACAAGGAAGATGTGATTGTGACTGCCCTGCCCCCTACCCTTCTTCCCTCACCTCTCATGCCATTCCATACTATTCAGCACTGTTATTTTTGTTTATTTTGTTTTTTTTTGTTTTTTTGAGACAAGGTGTCTCTGTGTAACAGTGCTGGCTGTCCTGGAACTTGCTCTGTAGACCAGGCTGGCCTTGAACTCATAGGGATTCACCTGCCTCTGCATCCCTGAGCACTGGGACTAAAGACCTGCACCACCACTGCCCAGCCAGCATTGTGATTTTTATGGTTGTATAGTATTCCACTATTTGTTACCT